GATCCTGTTACAACTGAAGTATCAGAAATATTTGCACTTGATACTTTAATGACACCAGATGAGAAGACATATTATTCTAATTGTGCACGTGATGTTAGAAATAAATTGAAAGCTAAAAACCCTGTTAAACTGAATGAAGTAATGAATATTATAAAAACAACTAAGTTTGGAGCATCATTTGTTCCATTACTTTCTCAAATGGAAAAAGTAAGATTGTTAACTGTTGTTAGTTTATTAGAACTTTATCGTTCTCTTAATGTCCTCTTTATTAAAGGTGCTCACATAAAATCAGAGAATATAGCAAGAAAAGTTGCATCTGAAAATTGGATTGATGAAACAGTTTTTGTTGGACTTTGTGATAGATTTTTAGATAGTATTAATGAAAATGAATCTAAGAAGTATATATATTCTAATTTAAATAAAATGTTAATAACTAATACTGCCATTGTGACTGCTTTACATATTTGTAATTTTTCTATTTCCATGGGATATGTTAAAACTATTGGTGTTGATTTTCTAATGGTTGATATAGTTACTAAAAGGCATCTTATTCGTATAGGATGTATAAAAGAGTCTAAGGCAAATGGAGGAGTTAGAAGAGAAGAGTGTTATACATTGAAGGCACCAATTAAGATTGTTTCAGAACAAAAACATAAGAGAGCTTCTCAGAAAAAGGTATTTTGAGATGATTGTGACTGAAATAACGAATGTTAAGATTTTTGTTGGTTTCTTTTTTTTTTAAAAATTGAAACAAGATAGTCTCAATAACAAAAAAAAGAAATAAAGAAGAAGGAAATATTATAGAGAATGAAAAGAAAAATAGGAACTTGAAGACATAACATTTATGAAGAAATTATTTGAATTGCAACAAAATGAAGAGGCGTATAATAAATTACTTTGTGTTGATGCTCCTATAGTAAAAGAAGAATACCATCCACCTAATTTTCATTTAACAATTAAAATTATTTGTATTGATGGTGAACTTATTGTTGATAAAGTAATATGTGAGAAAGTAAAAGGACTATTATTAAATGAATTTAATAAATTTAATGAAGAAGATGACAAACTGGTATTTTTGAGAAAACCAAGATTTATTATCCAATCATTATTAAGACCATATATACAAAAATGTAATAGTAAGCCGTTATTTATATTTAAAAGTACTTCAGAAGAACAGTTAAATTTATTACTTGATGGGTATTATGAGTTACAGATGATTAATAAAACTTTTATTCATGAACTTATTGATTGGATGACTGTTAATGATAAGTACCAAATACCTATTGATATTGAACAGTATATTATCTCTCAATTTGATGTATTTAACCCACAAGATGTATCAGCATTAGCATTTTTATATTCGAAACTACAACAACCTGCATTAAGAAGATATTGTTTTGAGTCATATATTAGTATCAATGGTATTTCATCAACAAGAAACCAACTAAAGGAAAGTATTGGTTCCTTAACAGCATTTGTTGTTTCAAAGATTTTAGAAGGTGTTTCTTTATTTCCTGCTGTATTAACAGAGATTCTATCTGGAGACCTTAAAGAAAATGAATTATTTGATGTGTTGCAATCTTGTCTTCATTTAGTTCAATACGAACAACAAAGAAAGGATTTTGTTTTAAGAAATAATTTAACTCTCCTTCAGAATAAAATTACTTCTCTTAAAACAAAATCAAATGATATTGTTATGCTTTTCCTTCATACATTTTCTCTTTGTAGTCAAGAAACAGAGGCACAAACAGAATTATGGAATAATGGATTATATCAAACTGCAGTTACTTTAGCAAATAATAGTGGAGATGATTGTATGATTTATATATGTATTGCATCATTAGGAGCATATTGTGGTACAGTAGAACATAATGTTAATGTTGTTCAAGCTGGATTTCATCAATTTATTATGCAACATATTCAAAGTACTACAAAAGAATTTAGAGAAGCAACTTCACTGATTGCAACAGAAACATTAATTAAATTATTCACAACAAATCTTATTTCTAAAGAAGAAAAAGAATGTTTTGTTGAGAATTTACTTGACTTTATTGATGAAAGTCTTTATATCCCAGCTATAGTGAATGGACTTCAATTAATTAAGACACTTGTTAATGACAATGCACATAACCTTTTATTAGCAAAACGATGGTTTTCATTATCACGATTAGTTACAAGATGTAGTTCAGAAAAAGCAATAATTATTGGGGTATTTAAAATTTGTGTCAACAGATATAGAGAGACATCACAAGGTATTGATCCAGAAGAAATGTCAGTGTATATTGGAGTATGTTTAGATCATATTGATGATGAAGAAATTATTAGCAACGCATTAACATTTTTCCAAACAATTACTAATAATAAAGAATGGTGTGAGGTTGCAGTGAAGAATGGTTTACAACTTGTAGTAAGTGAAATTATCAAGAGATATCAAAAGCATGAAATGATAGAAGTTTGTTCAACAACGTTATTAATGAATATAATTCAAAATAATTTTGGAATACTTGAATTTTATTCAATGCAATTACCTGAGGTATTATGTCGAGTTATGAACACTTACGAACATAATTCATTAATTCAAGACCAATGTGGAATAGTATTAGTTTATCTTCTAGATGCTAATCCAAACAAAGATGAGTTACTTGAATGGGCAACAGTATGTTATAAAGCAGCACTTGAATTTGTTGGTAATTCATCGATTCAATGTAATTCATTAACAGTAACATGTCAATACCTTCAAATAACTAATGACATTGATACTTTTAATAAGAATGGATGGATTGATATTTTTGAAGTAACAATGAAGAATTTTACCTGTGATTTAGACATTCAATACCATGGTATAAAATTGTTGTTATATTTATTAAAACACCAAGGTTATTCTTCTGAAGTAGAATTAATGAATTATTTTTCTATTACTGTTATTAAATGTTCATCTTGTAAAGAAATATTAGAAGGTGTTTGTGATTGTGTATTACAATTGATATCTCCATTGAATAATAATTGGAAGAAGAACCTAACATTTCTTAAAACTCAACCATTATTAATTAACCTTGAGAAATTTTCATCATTATATAATAATGATGTTCCTTTGGCATTGAGATATAATTCATTGCTTATTTATAACCAACAAATAAACTCAAATGGAGAAAATACTGTAGCTTCTACTTATCATTTTATACTTAATGAATATATTAATTCAGTTTATCAAAATGATTATATTCTCAATGCTTCACAAGAAGCACAGAGTGTTAATGATTTCTTAAAACTAATTTCAAATTTTGATTTTGATGAAGATTCAATACAATGTACTATTGCTGCTATGGCAATTCTTTCAAATACAAAAGAATTTTCTAAAGAAGCATACAACTATTACAAAATGGTTGCAAATCATTTTTTTAAAACAGATAATATATTAACAAGAAAGTACTCAACACTCTTTTTTGCACTTCTACCAGAGTCATTATATGATGTTGATGCAATATCTAATTATGCTGAAGCAGTAACAAGTTCTTTACTTACTAATTTCCAAATAGCTGAAAATGAAATAGACATCGTATATATTACATTTATTTCAATCAACCGCATTTTAAAGAAGGTTCGTATTTGTCGTTCAGTCGTTTACCAATTTAATGCAATGAAAACAATCAACAAATTAGTAGATAAACTTAAAGCAAATTTCACTCCTGAAATGTCTAAAGAAGCTGATTTATTACTTAGACTGATTCAATAAGAAGAATACTTTACGACTAATTTATTATTATTTTTATTTTGTCATTTAAGATGGAAAGAATACTTTGCAGTTTTTCTTTTAATAATCACCAGTATCTCCAATCTTTCATTTCAATAAAAGAAGTGTATTTATTAAATAGTAGTAATTTTATTTTAATAAAGATATTAAATTCAATTTTTTTAAATACTTTATAAATACAAACAATTAAGACTATAGTCTTAATCAATTAGACTTATTTTTTTTTGTGGATTAGATAAGAGAAAATGTATAGAATTATTGAATAAAAATAAAGAGTTATAGTAATATTTTTGTAACTTCTAAATATCTTATTAAGGTAATTTAAGCAATTCTTTTTTTCTTTATATTAGAGAAATTTTATTTATGAATAATGAAAATATTTTAATAAGAATATTTTTTAAAGAGGAATGTACTTATTATTTTCATTAAAAAATAATAGAGTATTTATTTAATGATTGCACTGTTAATACAGTTTAAGACTTTTTGGTTTATATCCATTTTATGAGCATTTTTGATACTTCACTTTTATATTATTGAACGACTGTTAAAACCTAGTTTGGTGAAGTTTTTGATTTAAAATACCAATATAGTCAGATACTAAAAATAAATTTTATTGAAAATAAATCACTGAAGTATTTAACTAATTTAAAAACAGTGACTGATAAAGTTTCGGACTTAAGGTGTAATCAAAATGAAAAAGAAGTTATAAACAATTGAATACACTTTGTTTTGGAATGGAATTATTGTAATAATTTATTAAAAAAAAATCATAATCTAATTAATGTGCTTTTTTTGATGTAACTTCTTGGTAAGAAGTTGACCATTTAGATAATAAAATTTCAAATAGTTTAAAAACGTTATTTATTCTTTTAATGTAGAGAAAATGTACCTTTAAATAAAACAAAGACGACAGAAAAAAATAAATTAAATATTGAAAATAATATTGAATTTTAACTATATTAAGTTATTTGAATACGCCATTTCTTTTTAAGAATAATAATATAGTTTTATTCTTGATAACGAAGTGTTGAAGCAACTCATATCTGGTGAAGTAATCTCTAAAAAGAAAATTCTGAATAGTTTTTTGTGAGGATTGACACATTAATATGAAGTAGTTTTTGTACACGTCTTTTTCTTTAAAAAGGACAAACACCATTTTGAGGGTTGACTTGGTCATTTCTTTATTTGTTAATCATTTAAAAAGAAGGTATGACTATTTAATATCATTTAAGTCACTCACTACACAGCAATGAATCACAGTTCTGTTAATTACAGAGATAAGAGAAATTATAAAATTGCATTAGAAAGTGTTTTAATAGCATTATTGAATAGACATTTTGAAATTGTATTAAGAAAACCAAAGTCAAAATCAACAACAACATTATCTTATATTGACATTGAATCAATTAAAAGAAATAATGATATTTTACAAATAAATACATTTGTTGAAGAAAGAATAAAGACACTTATTGAAGACCAAATTAAAAAAGGATATAAATACTCAACAATTATATCAAAGTCAAGAAGAATGAAAATTGAAGAAACAAATAGTTTGTTAGTAGATCTTCTAACAGAAGAAGGATATTTATTTATTACAAAAACAATTATGAAAGGTACTGTAATAGTAGATAAAATAAAATATCTAGAGTCATTGTCTATTTCTTATAATGATATTATTTTAATTGGGAAACAAATCAATGAATGGATTATTTCTAAATTAACTAATGAGCAATCAATTCTATTAGTTTTAAATAATAAAATGTTATCAACATTTCTAAAAAAAATATTTTAGTCAAGAATGATTATTATTCTTTAAACTCAAAAAAAACTAATAATATTCATTTGTTTTGTAATGGATAATGCTATAAAAAATTTGTGTTTATTCCATTTTCGTGAAGAAATCAACAAAGCCTTATTAAAGGGAGAAAAAGAAAATGTTTTAGAACAAATTATATTAAAATATATTGATGAATATAGAAAGTCTGAAAACAAAAATAACACACAAAAAGAACCAGAAGAGTGTAGTATTTGTTATGGTGAAATGGATAATTGTTATACCATTCCTGGATGTGGACATAAATTCTGTTTTGAATGTGTTCAAGATACAGTTAAACAAGCACTTCAAGATAATCAAGTGGAAGTTCATTGTCCAGAAGCTGGATGTACCTCAAAAATACCAACTTCAGAGTTGTATGCTAAGTTCTTTACACCAGAAATGTGTAGTAGATTTACAGAAAATTCAAGACGTGTATTTCTTAATGCACAAAAAAATTGTAAGTTCTGTCCTAAATGTGAAGCAGGGCTGTTAATGACAGATAACAAAGTAAAGGTACAATGTCCTATTTGTAAATCCTATTTCTGTACTAATTGTTTATGTGAATATCATGATGGTTATACTTGTGAACAATATCAAAAATGGAAAGCTGAAAATGATAAGGCAGATGAAATGTTCCAAGAATTTATTAAAACACATGGAGAGTGTCCAGAATGTCATATGGTATGTGAACGTATAAGTGGATGTAACTACATTAAATGTATTTGTGGTTGTGGATATTGTTATAAATGTCACAAAAAGGTTAAACATTATTCTCCACACATTTTAAAGGCTGATTGCTCTCTTTCAGGTGAAGGTCATGACTAGAGAAACTAACTACAAAGTTAATTTGTTGATGATAGAAGATTGTTTTCATAATTGTCTATTTTCCTTTTGAAAAGAAAGAATAAATAGGAAAGTTCCAAGTAAATTCAAAATTCTCTTTTTGATCAACTCTAAACTAATAATTCATATCATTCAATGAGTTCTTTACTTAAACTCTCAAGTACAAGTCTTAAACCTAAATCAGTTGAATCACAACAATTATACGCATATTCTGAGATTATTAACCATGCATTACATTATGAGAAACCAATAATAAATGATATTCTTAAAGATTTACAAGATGGTATCATCCTTTCAAGATATCTTCAGATTGAAACAGGAAAAGTAATCTCAAATATTATAAAAACTCCAATCACACAAAAAGATAAAGAAAATAATTTAAAATTAATTCTTGAATTCATTAAGAGTCAAAATATAAAAGTTACTACCACTGTTCAAGACATAATGAATGGGGAGCCTAAACCAATCATTACCCTCATGTTTTATTTAATGTATAGATTTAGATTAAATGATACTCCAGTTAGAATCATTGATTTCTCTAAATGGATTAAATGCATATTAAAAATTAATAACCCATTATTTGACTTAAAAACTGAATTTTCTGATGGTATTCTTTTTGCAAGAATATTAAATTATTATAAACCAAATATTATTGCTTATAATACTCTTACTAGAGATAAAATTAAAACCGTTTCTACTTGTTTACAATTAGCTAAAAGTCAATTAAATATTCCTATTTTATTAAGTGCACAAGCTATAGGAGCAAATCAGTTAGATGACAATTCATTAGTTCTTTATTTGTCATATTTTATTATAAAGGATAATAGATTTGGACCAAATGATATGAAAGTAGCAGAAAAAATCTTTCTTGGGAGAAGAGAACGAACTAAAGAAGTAAGAAGAGCTAAAAGAGATGAATTAATTGAAGAGTTAGAAAAGTTAATGGATATTTGTCGTAAGAATACTGATGAACTTGTTAAAGATAAAATAGAAAAATTACGAGTCAATGTAGCAAATATGATGGAAGGGTTAGAGATGGTTGAAGTAGAAGAAGATGAATTTGATGAAATGGATAATGATATGATAATTCAAGAATTAAATATTCATAAAGGAAAAATAGATAATATGATGCTTGAGGCAATGGAATTAGTTAAAGAAGAATCAAGCACTCCAATAGAAATTAGAGGAGAAGATTCCCAAGCTCTTGAAGAATTAAGAGTTCAAATAAAACAAAAAATTAAAAAGATAGAAGAATTAGAAAAGCTTGTTTCAGTAATGAAAGAAAAAAAAGAAGAGGCAGAAAAGGCAGAAAGAGAGATGAGAATGAAATGTCAAAACGAAAGTACATTAATGGGAATTATAGAAGAATTTGAAAAAAGTGTAAAAGAACTTAATGATAGAATCAAAGAAAAGAACAAGCAAATAGATGATTATGAAAAAACTATTGAAGAAAATAAAGAAGATTTTGAAGCAAAAGAATTAATAATTCAACAATTAAAAGATGAAATAATTCAATTAACAAATACTGAACAAAAACTAAAAGAACAATTAGAAATTAAAGAAAAAGAGCTTCAAGAACAAACTAAAGAAGTTAAAGAACAAAATCAACAACAAAATATTATTCAAATAAAAGAACAAGAAATAATTGATATTAAGAAAAAGAATGAAGAAACAATACAGTTAATTCAAAAAGAAATGGAAAAAGAAAGAAATGAGTTAAGTATTAAAATAAAAGAATTAGAAAATATAATTTCAGGAAAAGAAGAAGAAATAAATAAAATAAAAGAAATGCATGACTATAAAGAAAAAGAAATACAAAGGATAACTGAAAAAATAAATAAAGAAACAGAAATAAATAATAAAACACAACAAGAATTAAATAAAATAAAAGAAGAAAATAATGAATATAAAAATCAAATTAATACATTAGAAATTGAAATTAAAACAAAAGAAGAAGAAAAAGGAACTACAGAATTAGAATTAAAAGAAAACCAAAAAAGTATTCAAGAATTAAAAGAACTTAAGGAACAAGAGAGAATTAATAAAGAAAAAAAAGAAAAAGAAGTTAAAGAATTACAAAAGATTATTGAAGAATGGAAAGTAAAAGAGAAAGAATGGAAAGAACAATTAGAAGAGAATCAAAAAGAAAAAGAAGAAAGTGAAGAAAACAATAATCAAATGAAGAGAATAATTGAAAAAAAAGAAGAAGAAGTTAAAGGTCTTAATCAAGAAATTGACAAAATAAATAAAGAAAATGAAATTATGAAAGAAAAAATGAAAGAATTAGAAAGAATTAAAGGAGAGATTGAAGTGTTAAAAATAAAAGAAACTGGCGATTCAAATGAATATGAAAAAATGATTGAAGAATTAAAAAAACAAATAGAAATTATTAAAAGTGATAATGAAAAAGAAAGAAAAAATAATGAAATTGAACAAAAAAAAAAGAATGAAGAGTTCAGTCAAAAAGAAGAAGAATTAAATAATAATATTGAAAAGAAAAAGAAAGAAATTGAGAAACTTAATAAACAAATAGAAGAACTAAAACAAAAGAATGAAGAGAATCAAAAAGAAAATATAGAAAAACAAAATCAAATTAACCAATTAAATTTAGATAAAGAAAAAATAATGAAAGAATTAGAATCAACAATAATGGAAAAGAATCAAATTGAAGAAGAAAGAAAGAAAGAACAAGAAATAAACGAAAAGAAAATAAATGATATTATCGCATCAAAAGATAATAAAATTAATGAATTAAATAAAAGTATTAATGAACTCAAAGAAGAATGGAATAAAAAAGAAAATTATCTTAATAAAACTAATCAAGAATTAACTGAACAAATTATTCAGAAAGAAGAAATTATTAATGTTACAATAAAAGAAAATGAAAATTTAAAAAAAGTAAAAGAAGAAATTGAAAAGAAAACAGAAACAGAAATTAATGAATTACAAATAAAAATTAAAGAAAATAATGAACAAATAAATGAAATTAATAAAGAAAAAGAAAATATTCAAAAAGAATTTGAAATACAAATTGATAATAAAAATACAGAAATAAATGAAATAAAAGAGAAAAATGAAAAAGAATTAAATGAAATAAAAATACAAATAGAAGAAATGAACAAAGAAAAGAATCAATTAGAAAATTTGAAAAAACAATTAGAAAATGAAAATGAAATAATAAAAAAAGAAAATAAAAAGAAAGAAGAAGAAAATAAAGAAATGGGATATTTAATTAAAGAAAATGAAAAGAAAATTGAATCAATTAGAAATGAAATAAATAGTAAAGAACGAGAACTTGGAACAAAAATCAAATTAATTGAAATGATTAAAAATGAAAAAGATATTATGGAAAAAGATTTTAAAAAAGAAATAGATAATAAAAATATTGAAATTAAAAGACTTCAAATTGATATTGAAAAGAAAAAAAATGATATTACTTTACTTATTCAAAAAAATGATGAAGATAAAAAGAAAAGTATTGAAGAAAAAAAGAATTTAAATCAAGAAATTGAAAAAATAAAGTCTGAAAAAAATGATGTTCAAAAAGAAAAGGAACAAATCCTTTTGGAAAAAGAAGATTTAAAATCAGATTTTAATAAATTCAAAACTCAAATGGAAAATGAAAAAATACAAATAAAAGAAGAACATGAAAATAATATAACAAATTTACAAAATGAAATAAATGAAAAAATAAATCAAAATGATGAAATTAAATTAGAAATTGAACAATTAAATAAACAATTAGTTGAATTAAAACAACAATTAATTGAAACCCAAAAAGAAAAAGAAGAAGAAACAAAAAAATATGAAGAAGTTAAAGGACAAATTGATGGTGCACATCAAGAAGTTGAAAATATTAAAAAAGAAACAGAACAACAAATTAATCAAATGAAAAAAGAATGTGATGAAATGCAAAAAACAACATTTGAAGCAAAAGAAGAATTAAGAGTTCAAGTAGAAAGTGTAAAAATGATTGAAACAAAAGTTTCAACACAAAAAGCATCAAACACAAAATTAAAAAAAAGAGTAGAAGAATTAGAAAGAACTATAGAAAAATTAAAAAATGAAAGAAATGAAAAAGAAGCATTTTGGGAAAAGAAAAAAATGTGGATGATTGAAGATGAAGAAGATAAAAAAGTGTTATTTAATAGTCTTGCTTTAGGAATTAAAATGGTAATGCCAAAAGAAGTTTTAAAAATTGATAATACAATGTTGTATAATGAATGTAAAAATAAAAATGTTCCTATAAAAGATTGGTATTCTTGGTTGTTAGAAACACTAAGTCAAAAAATAATGGGATAATAATCTCATTTTATAAATTATCTTCATTTCTTTTGGTCTAAAAGAAAAAATTCTTTAATAAAAAACATTAATTCATTAATAAATTAAATTTTCTTTTTTTTTTATTCTGTTTTTAACTAATAGAACTTATAGTCTAGAAACATAATTAAATGCGTAGCATATTACTATTATCCTTTTTCATCAATACAACCATATTTTATAATATCTTTACTATCATTTAATACCATTCTTTTTACATCAATATTATGTAAAATGTATTTTTTAATTTATTTTTTTGAATTTAGTATCTTTATTGTTTATTAAATCATTTTTATATTTTAATTTAACATCAATACGTATTAAATAACTATTACTCATCTAACTTATTATTGTTTTTTTTTTAAATCAAATAAATTCCTCTTATTTTATAGATAATTTCTATAAATGATAAATAAAAATGTTTTGAATTAAAGCTTGAATAATCCTCAGTCAAAAAAGAACACAATAATTGATACATTATTTATACATTAAGTGATTGTCTCATAACCTTATAACTTGTGATTAATAATAATTACTAATAAATTATAGAAACTTTATCTTTTAATAAAAAAAACATTTTTTTAATTAATGAATCTAAATTTGTTTTTAATAAAAATGATAAATATAACATAATTATTAAAAAAGAAAAATTGAATGAAGATTATGAGAAATAAGAACTTAAAAAAATATAAAATTCAAAGTATTATGTCCCTAGACAAAGCTATCACTGTTGCTGAAGAAGCAATTAATTTTGATAACCTTGAAGATGACTATAACGCTATATCAAAATATAAAGAAGCTGTTGAATATTTAAAACTTGCTCATTCTGATCCTTCAAATGCTGAAAGTTATTCGGTGATATTAAATAAAGTAATGGAATACAATGAACGTATTGAATATTTGGCTGAGCTTCATCCTGGAGATACTAAATTCGAAGAATTACTAAAAGCACCATTCGTACTTGACCAACCCCTTTCTAACAATACTCCTACTCAAGCCCCAGTGTTAGAAGAACCTAAACCAATTGTTACACAACCAGTTGAACAACCTAAACCAATTGAACAACCTAAACCACAAAATGTTGAACAGCCTAAACCGATTGTTACACAGCCAATTGAACAACCTAAACCACAAAGTGTTGAACCAATACTAAGCCAACAACAAGAAAAACCACAAGAAATTATTAAACCATTATTCCCTGAACCATCTCAACCTATTGAAGAAAAGAAAGATAACACTGTTATTGAACAAGGAGAAGAACAACAAAACAAGTCAAAAGTATTAGTTGGAGCAGTTAAAGTAATGCCTACAACTGATATTTCTCAACAACCTACAAATATTAAAGTGAACCAACCTGAAGAAAAACAAGTCCAACCAACATTTAATATTGTACAATCAACACCTATGCCAACAACTGGGGTGGTGCCAGTAATGATGCCAATGACACAACCGGTCATAAATCCTATGATGACGTCAGTGAATGGTTATTTACCTGTCATAACTCCACAAGGACCAATGTTAATGCCAACGACTCAACCATCATCACTCCAACAACCAGTATTTCCACATTTTGGAACAGAACCAAGCTCTTCTTTAATAGGAGGACCAATTATACCAATCACGTCTGCACCAATTCAAAGTGTACAAGAACAAAAACCTAAAATACCAAAACAGTCAACTACAGCATTAAGAACTGCATTCATTAGATCAAAATTAAGTCTTGAACATCCATCAACATTAAACGGATTAAAAGCATGGAAATTAGCCAAACCATTAGCAGAAAAAGGAAAAGAATTTGATAGCCAAACCAAATATGCAGATGCACTTGCATATTATGAAACTGCATTAGACTATTTTGCACAAGCACTAAGAGCACCTGAACTTACTGACACTATGAAGAAACAATTAAAAGAAGAAGTAAAAGCATATCTTACGAGAGCCGAACAGATTAAACCAGTTGTAGTTGAATTTCTTAAACAAAATCCAACATATTTTGGAGAAGTAGATAATGAAGATAGTCAACGATTAGAAACATGTATTGTATGTAATAAAAGAATTGAAGGAGAGTTTGTTAGTGCACTTGGATATAATTATCATCCACAATGTTTTGTTGCAAATGTCAATTGTAAATTATGTGGAAAACCATTCTCTTTCCCCAAAATGGAATTTAAGATTTATAATGATCAAGCCTACCATCCATTATGTTTTGAAGGTGTAACTGGTCTTGAAAAAGAAATAACTTATACACCAACATTCCAACATGGTACCATTTTTTATAAAGTCAAGTTACCAAAGAAAATATTTAATGTAAATGACTCATTTATGTATGATATTACTATTGATAATTCAACTAATTGTTGTATTAATTATATTGAAACAGGACTATTATGTGAAGAGACTCGATTTTCTCGTGGATTCTCAGGTGAAATGAAAGGAGAAACAACAAAAACAGAAATGGCTAAAAAGAAAATAATGTTTGAAGGTAAAGTGATGAGGAATGGGGTTATTACTAAAAGTGAAATGTTTTCAATAGGAATGGTTCGTCCATCTCATCACAATGATATTATGTTTTATCGTGGTTATAAATTTGTTGTAAGTCTAAAAGTATCTGGAGTTGCTTTGGGACCAAAAGAAATAGTCTTTCCAATATATATTAATGAATAATTTTCATTGGTATTTCATGATATTTAATTTTTGTTTTTTTCTTTATTAAAAATTTTAAGATATGTTAAATATTTTTTCAGTAATATAGAATAAATTCTGTGTAAAATATTGAATAAGAAAAAGAAAAAAGAAAGGAGAAGATTTACCTTAAAATAGGACTTTTTTTCTTATGTTAAATCAAAAAACTGAAGTATTAAGTTAATGAAAAAATAATGAAGATAGAGAAAATCTAATACTTGATTATTTTGCATAATCATAATTTAATCTTTCAGGAGATTAAAGTAACTTAAAAAATGTTAAAAATAGACGTTTTAAAAGAAAAAAAAAAGAAATATTCAACCTGATTCTAATGCATCGCGAAGAAACCCCCAGAAATGAATTTAAACTAAATCATTTCTTTCTATATTTGGAATTCTCGATTCAGTTTCCTGAAAACAAAAGGAAAAAGAAAGGACAAATTTCTAAGAGGCAACTATCTATTTAAACCCTTGGTTAAAACTTAGTTTCGTTATAGACATTATGTCTGAACTACTTGATCTTATTCCACAAAAGAAAAAGTTATTATGTCAAGTCCCAATCATGAATTGGGATAAAGTTATGGAGTTAGTCAACCAGTATCATACTGTAGTCTTACCTGCCTTCTACAAAAGATTTGATGACCAATTCCAATCTGCTAAAGATTATATTGATCAATCTAATTCTCAGGAAGAAGAAGCTAAAAATGTTTCTACTATTAAAATGGAGATGATATATCCTGGAAATCCAGTAATTGACAATGTAGAAGAATGTCTTTCTATTGAATTAATTCATGATATTGATCTCTTAAATTGGCTAGTTAGTGATATTGACGCTGAAATCACAATTACAAAAGTAGAAAATATAAATAATGTTATTACTATTAGTGGTTCAATAATTGCTAAGAAATATGGTACTGATATTGATTTTACTATTCATTATTCTAGGATGAAAGAAGGAGAATGTAAACAACAAATTATTCTTAATGACCAAGTTTATGGTTATGTATTTCCAATTAAGAAAAATGATGGCTCTGAATATTGGACATATTTTGGAACTGCCTATAAAAATATGTGTAAAGACTTTGACTCTATTCCATTAGAGTCATCAGATGGAGATATGAGAATTATGCCATTTATCAGAACTATGAAATTAGTCAGTGATGCTATTGATCTTTCTTTTGATGATGATTTCATTGAACGATTTAATGCTAAACATAATTCAACACTACCATTAGACAAACATATTTATAAAGGATTTAGTGGTAATATTATTACTTGTAAAGATGGACTTCTTAAACCATTACAAAACCCAACAGAACCAAAGGTTCTTAAATTCCTTCAAGGTACTGAATTAAAAAAATTTCTTCCAGAATATCATGGTAAAGTTGAAATTAATGACACTGTTTTTATTTCTATGGGAGACTTAACAGAAGGATATACCAATCCAAAAGTTCTTGATATTAGACTTGGACAAACTTGTACTATTAGTAAAATGGAACAACAGCCATTTGGATTTAAAGTTGTTGGAAGTATTTCAGATCCAAAAAATGCTTGTTTTTCATGGGATGATTTATATAGCACAGTTAAAAAATATTTAAAAGATAATAAAGAAAATTTCTGTAGATATGAAGTTCTTCCTTCTTTAATTAAACAACTTAATGAACTTCTTAGTATTGCTAATACATTTACAGGTGTACAATTCAAACAAGTTTCATTAATGCTTATTTACGACGCAATTGATAATGCCTCACAAAAACCAACAATTCATCTTCTTGATTTTCAAAAGAGTGTCATTGATGAAAAGGCTGGAATTGATCATTATTTCTGTTTTGGTATTTCATCATTAATTAAATTATTACAATCTGTTCATGATTATTATACATCAAGACATTGTGTTTTCCTTTGTAGACATGGATTTAGATTAGATTATACTGATCTTACTTGGGTTCCAAATGCTAAATACCCACATGATCCTCCTTTGTCTTCAGAAGGAATTCAACAAGCTAAAGATTTAGCTAAACGTTTAAAACATGAGAATTTAGATATTATTGTAAGTTCTCCATTCTACAGAGCAACTCAGACTGCTAAATTTATTGCTGAAGAATTAGGAATTAAATATGTTGTTGAACCAGCATTTGGTGAATTTCTTTCAATTAATAATCGTAAAGCTGTTCCCGACCTTGACCCAACTCCATTAGAAGAAGATAATGCAATGGATAGAAGCTTTACTCCTTTAGGAGGAGTTCTTTCTTTAGAAACTTGGGATTCTATGCAAGAACGTGTTCATACAAGTTTAAATGCAATAACAAAAAAATATCATCGTGTAGCTATTGTGTCTCATCGTTCTACTTTCCAAGCTTTACTCTCAGTTATTGTTGGGCATAAGTTCAAGTACCCTCTTGATTTTGCTTCTGTCACTTCAATGGTTCCAGCTAAAGGAAGTACTGGATGGGTTATTGATAGAATCAATATGTTCTCACATCTCACCGTATTTACTGAAAGTCCTTATTATAACCCAAATTATGCAGCAAAGAATTATAATGATATGATTATTGATGATAACGGTGCTGTCCATGACTCATAACTGTGTTATCTTTCTTTATTTTCATATTTTTTTTTAAATATAATAAATTTTTAATTCACTAAATTATACTTGAGTTTCAACATCTGCCATAAAGGTATCTGTTTGTTTAATAATAATATCGTCATAAGCATCTTGTTGTTGTAAATCAATCACTCCTTGTGTTTTTAAAACCAATAATTCAAAGAAACACCCAACAACAGGTTTTCTTTTTTTTCCTTGAACAAATGCTTTGTATGACATTTCAGTTCTATCTCCCATTGACCTCTTCAAGAAGTTATGAATTTTAGCTGATCTTGATGTCCAACTATCAGTAACAATTTTTTGCTTAAATGGTTCTTCAGGAATAGCTACATCCTCATTATATCCTTCATTATTATCAAAGTTTAATGTTGGAATGTCATCTTGAATAGGAAGATTTTCATCAGGAATAATGTCACTAACCCTTCTTTTCTCTTCAGAACTTACTTCATCAGACATACCATCTTTATGTTTTAATGGTTTTAATGTTGAAATATGTTCCTGTACTTCCTCTAAATGTTTTTGGGCTTCTTCTTTTTGACTTGCAATATCAACTTCTTTCACAACATCTTTTTCTTGGACTTCATCTTTATTTATCATTTTAATATAATTCTTAATTTTTTCATTTGTAACTTCCCATCTTCCTCGAAGACGTCTTCCTTCTTCTCTCAATTCATTTAAACTTCCAGGAGCTAAATCAAATTCTCTTATAATCTTATCACAATCTTTTTTTGTTTTTTCATATCTCTTAACGCTAATTAATGTTGCCTTATCATAAATAATTTTTTTTTCTTTTCTTGTCTTTTTCTTTTTTTCTTTACCTTCATCTTCTTTTGCTTTTTCTTCTCCATTATCTTCAATAAGTGCTTCATTTTCTTGTGGCATTTCAACTGGTATTTCTGGTACATCTTCGTTAATCATTGGTAATGGCGCTTCTGTTTCTTCCATTAAAGAAACTCCTTTCTCACTTATTTCATGAGATGGTTCTTCATTTGATACAGCAGAAATAAGTCCTGCCATAGTAGTGTCAATCAATGATTTGTCAATAGGTTGAATTAATTCAGATGGTTGAATAGACTCTGGAGCTCTTAACACAGCAGGGTCATTTAATAATTCATCTAATGTATTTAATGGAATTTCATCCATTGACCCCATAGTAACTAAATTACCAATATCTTGTTGAAGAGTAATATCCTGAGCATTTGCTGTAAAATTCCCAGTTAAGTCTCTTAAATCATCTGCATTTAACTGTTCATCTAATTGAAGATCCAATGCTAAATTAGCAAAATTTATTCCTTCATTAATACTACTATCTTCAGAAAAATCTCTTTGTCTTGTTGGGATAGTAATTGCTCCGTGTGGTGCAACAGCTTTTTCTGCATCAACAGCACCTGGTCTAAATGACAATTTAATCTTTACTAATGCATCGTTACAGTCTTGAAGTAAATATTTTACTTTTCTTGAATAAATACGACAAATACCTAACAATAAATGTCCACTAATTCTTAATGCTATTGGAATTTCTGGATTAGCAACAGCATTAACAGCTTCTTTTAAGTCAATAGCAAGAATTTGTTGTTTAGTTAATTTACCTTCCCAATGAGCTGCAATCCAAACCTTAGCAAGTGGACCTTTTTTTGTTAAAACCACTTGTGAATAAAACATATTTCTGTATTTTGACTTTTTAAGTTATTTCTGCAATTTTAGTTCAAAAAGAGAAAAATTAATGATTTTGAAATAATCACGAAAATTAAAAAAGGGGTTTATTAGGTTTAATAATTTTTTTTCTCAAAACGAAGAAAGTGAAGAAAAATCATTTAAAATGAATTTGATTTAGAAACATTAAGCATCAGAAAATATTTTTTAAACCCATTTAATTGCACCAATAAATTCAACTTGGAACTTGATTTCTGAAACAAATTTAAAGTCATGGGCATTTGTATAATCTTGTTCTGGATTAGTAATTTTACACATACCATGTTTCAAAATAAAGAAATTATGAGACCCAATAATCAGGTCTTTTGATTTAGACGAATAAATACATAAACTTTTACTTTCATTATCTTGAAGATAAAATGCTCTTGGTTGAATACCATTAGGATTTGATAATGAAAAAATGAAATGTTTTGGATCTTTTGTTATCACTTCACAATCGTCTATTCCTTTTCCAGGTTTTAATGGAGCATTAGGAACAGTCAATGAATTGAAAGTACCAAATATACTACCATCCTTTGTAACAATAATTAACATTATATTTGGTTTATTACAAATAGCATTATTTAAATGAAGAACTTCAATTCTTCTAAAATTAGAACAACTGTAAATAACTCGTGGAGCAGTTAATCCAGTCCATTGGTGTAGTTGATTATAATATAATCCAA